TCAACAGGTTGACCAGATCTGCGTACCATGGATGTCAGGGCCGGGGGGGGGGGGGGCTAGGAGCAGGATATCTGCCTTTTCCACCAGTACCTTCTTGATCACCTTCGGAATGAGCGGGAGTGGAGGGAAGGCATATAGTAGGCTTCAGGGCCACAGACTGTGAAGTGCATTGGTCCTTTCTGCCCCCAGTGTTGCAAACCTGGAATAAAACCTGGATAACTGGGTATTTGTTGGGGAAGCAAACAGATCCAGGATTGGAGTTCCGAATCTTTCTGACAGCTCCTTGAATAGGTCTGTGTGTAGGCGACACTCTGAGTGGTCAACCATGGCTCTACTGAGCCAGTCTGCCTGCCCATTTTCTGTCCCTGTGATGTGTTCTGCCTTGATGGAGACAAGATGTTCCTCTACCCGGAGGCCCAATTGTTTGGCCTCTCACATGAGGGCTCTGGAGTGCCCCCTTGGCAGTTGATATGGGCCTTGGTGGCCACATTGTCTGTCAGAATAAGTACATGGTGACCCACAATCGTTTCCTGAGGGCTAAGTGGGTTAAGTGGGTTGCCCTGAGCTCCAACCAGTTGATGTTGTTCCTCAGGTCCAATTGAGACCACTGGCCTGTGTAATGAAATCACAGGAACCTCTGGTATGATGGCAGGATAGGTATGTGGAGGTATGCCTCCGTAAGGTCTATGGATGTTAGGAAGTTGCCTTCTCATATGCTCCCCAGTATTGACTGGAGGGACTGCATCTTGAATTTTCTGTAAACCATATGTCTGTTTAACCTTTTCAGGTCCAGTATTGCTCTCCACCACCACCCCCGAGGTCTTTAGAACTATAAACAGAATGGAGTAAAACCCCTGCTCCTGTTGGTCTTTTGGGGCCGGTTAAATAGCTTGGATGTCCAGCAAGTGTTGGACTGCTGTTTCCATGAGGCTTCTTTTCACCTTGTCCCTTGAGATGGGGCAACTTATGAAGAAACTTGGGGTTGTGGAGAGGAATTTGAGGGCGAGGCCTAGTCTCACTGTATTCAGGACCCAGGTGTCTGTAGTGGTTGCTTCCCATTGATTGGCGAATAGGCTTAAGTGCCCACCAATGGGAGGGCTAGACCTGTCGTCACTTGGTGTGGCAAAAGGGGTGACAGCCTGTGCTCCGAAATGGTCACTTCCCATGGAAGTTTTATCCATTCCTGTCTCTGAATCAGGATCTGTCCAGTTGCCATTCTTGTCTGTGGGTATATGCTCTTTGGGATTGAAGGGCCAACCCCGTGTCTGTGGACAGAAAAGAAGGCCTGTGGAAATAAGGCGAGGGATGGCGGTCAGCTTGTCTATAAACTGAAGGTAGAATCTTCCTCCTGTCCTTAGTCTCCACCAACATGGGCTCTAGGGCCTCTCCAAACAGCTTGCTTCCCTTGAAGAGAGCAGAGGCTAGTTTCCATTTATACTTCATGTCCACCTGCCAATGTCGAAGCCACAGAAGTCGGCGGGCCACTACCAAGGAAGCAATGGCCCTGGAAGCAAACTTTGCAGCATTCAAAGTGGCATCCGCTGAAAATTCCGCAGCTGCTATCAGTTTATTGATGTATTGATGTACTGGTGTAAGCGAAGGTCACTAGGGGAAACGTCGCTTGCATCTAGCGGAGCCCTGTTGAAAAAATGAGGCAGCTGTCGCTGCTTTGACAGCCCAGGCAGCTGCCTGATGCACCTTGTGGTGGATGAGCTCCGACTTCTTGTCCTCTGTCTTCAGAGCATCCTCTGCATTGTTAGACAGGATGGTGGAGGATGTTAAGGCCGCTACTGTGCCATCTATAGTTGGAAGTTGCAGTGCCTTGGAGACATCTGGGGCCACATTATAAAATCTCTTGTCGTTCCCACTTGTGGGTGGGTATACCCTTGGTTGGGCCCATTGTTTTTGGACCACGTCTCAGAATAGATTAGGTGAGGGAATTTCCTCATTCTCCACGTTTGGCTCTAAAAAGAGCAACTCATCTTGGTCCATCAAGTCCAATGCGGACTCTGCTGTAGTTGAGTCAGCTCCCAAGTGTGCTGCTGCCTTGGCCTTAAACAGTAAGGATTTAAAGAGGGCTGGATGGAAGAGTCCTGTGAATGCTGGGGGATCAGGTGCCATCCCATTATCCTCCGAAAGTTCCATTTCTTTTTTATCTTCATCCCGAGAGCGATGCCTCACTCTGTATGGATGAAGGGTTTGAGGATGATCTTCAGAAGGTCTCCAAATTGTTGCTGTGATGCCCTCACTTAGTCTTGTTGCACAGGGTTTTCCAGTGCTACAGCCTGATGCCCCTATTGTAGGCCTGCAGCAATGGCCGGTGTTAAAGCTTCTGATATCAGAATTTTCATCCGGTCCATAATTTCAGGACTCTTACTCTTGTGGGCGAAGCTCCACTGCTGAAAACCATCACTGGTCAACTGTTAGACCCCCCTGCAATTTTTCTTACTGAGCAAATAGATCAACAGATGATGCTGTTAATATGGCTTTGCGCTACATCTTACATCATCTTGAATCTCCAAAGATCTACGCAAGGGTCCTCTTTGTAGACTGCCACAACACTGTCAAACTACTTAGTACGACTGTGTTACTATTATTCTTCTCATCCTTCCTATTACCTATTTCTTCCCACTTATGACTATAACAGTGTTGCTTGTATCTTTACAATTTATATTTGATTTGTATTTGATTTGTTTTCCTAGTATGTTTTGATTGCTTATTAGTAACCTATGTATGATTTGATTCTTATTAGTAACCTTTGACTATCACTATGTGTTGTATCTTATGATTCTTGATGAATGTATTTTTTTTCTGATGTACACTTTGTATACTTATGTACAAAGACAAATTCCTTGTTGTCCAATCCACACTTGGCCAATAAAGAATTCTATTCTATTCTATTCTATTCTATTCTATTCTATTCTATTCTATTCCTATTCCTATTTCTATTTCTATTTTATTCTATTCATCCTCCAAGATAAATTCTCCTTGTCATGGATCAAGGCAGTTGAGTCTGCCAAACTAGGTTTCCCCCCAGATTCAATACTCAAGACGGACTATGATCAAGCAAAACAAACCTTGCAACAAAGGGTATAGGACATTGAAAGGCAAATTGACTTAGGGAAAACTCCCGTTTCTGGCTCCAAATGCCATTAGATATGTTGTTACTCTTGTAAGCTATCTTAGCCAATTGGAGTCAGCAAACCATTGGAAAGTATTTTTGCTCTCACAGTGCCATGCACTTCCATCAGCCGTCCTGTACCACAAGCATAAAAAGACACCATTGACTGAAAGACTCTTTTCCCATACCTCAGGAGAGATGAAGCCTGTGGGTCTTTTTACACAGAGAATCAGAAAAAATATACTCTGCCAATAATTGCTAGGTATTATATCCAGTGGTTGCTTAAAGATAAGCAGTCTATAACTACAGCACAGGTAGCTAGATTCTGCACAGTAGCACTGCGGATTTGTCGGTGTTATGTTTTATAACAAATGTGGCAAACCCTTTGCACTGCTTTTTTCTTTCCTTTTTAGTATTAAACTGACAACGGGCCACACATTTTATAGATTGTAATTTTAGTACAGTTAGACCAAGTATAATTGACAGAGACTGGATTTTATCATCGATTTTAGTTATTATTTATTATTTTATACTAGAATTTTTAATTGTACATTTACTGAGTGTTTTTATTTGTTCTGGTCTCTGGTCAATGCCTGTAATAATAAACTGAAAACTGAATTGATTCCCAGTTGAAACTAAGGTTAAATCTGTCCATATGTTGTAAAATGAAAGAATTATCAACATATCTTCTGACTGCTATTAAGAAATATCAAAACAGCATGGTAAATCTCAAGGAACAGTTAGAACTGACCATCACACCAAAGCACATGGAGAGGCTGGTCACCACTATCGCGAATACTTCTCAGAGACATGCCAGAAAAAGGAAAACCAAATTACAGGCTAACTGAAAAAAAATCAGCTGAAAAAGCCCTTCCAGAATCTAGCCTTTAATATCATGGTGTAGCTTTTCAGCAAGACCCCAGGAATTAACCACGTGGCAGCAACTTGCATCCTTTCCTACTGGTTTCATTGTTGACTTTCTGAAGAAGCCAGCAGAGAAAACTGCAAGTGACAATCCCATGATTGTGGGGCACTTAGCAACCCTTTGTTAAGTGCAAATGGGGTTCCAAACACCAAGATCACAATCACATGACTGCGGGATGCTGCCATTGCTGTATGTTTTGGCAGGGGTCACAAGTCCCTTTGTTCAGCACACTGTAATATTGAACAGTCACTGAATGAATGGTTGTAAGTCAAGAACTATCTGTAGTCCATCTTGTCTGTTTGTGTCTGATATATCTGGAAAGGCTGAAACAACTTTCACTGCTGAACTTCCCTAGAAAGTCAATTAGGAAGCCAGCAAGGAAAGTTGCTAGTCTTTCCCATTTGCATACTTTCTCCAAGCTCTCCTGCACTCATCCCATACCAACCACTCATGCACCCCATGCACTCACCATGACCTATTCAGCACCTTTTCATGCACCTTCTTTGATCTGCATAGCTTTTTACATATGCTCACTTATCTGAGTATCCCTTTACAGACCAATCATGCCCTCTACCCATTCCACAACCTGCAGAATACCCCTCACATTCCTTGCACTCCCAAACGCCCTCCCTAGTCGAAGAGGTGCCTCTCATACATCATCCCAAACCTATAGAGTGACCCATACACATCCTCCCCCATCCAGTAGCAGTAGGGCTTGGGACTTTCAACTTCCTGCTAGCTTCCCAACTGACTTAAGTTGTCCCACCTAACAATCATAGGATTCAGCTAACAATAGTAACTGAAAACTGCAGGGAGCAATGTAATCACACTTTATCATCACATCACTTAGAAACAGAAATTTGTTTCCCAATTGCTATGATAAGTCGAGGATTTTGTGATATTGTCATGATTAACTCTGAATCTATATTATTTTTGTATTTTATTAATACTAATCACTTCCTGCTTTACCCTTGTTAATTCCTGTTGAAGGATCACACATTCTTCTTCATTTGCCTTTTCAACAGCTTTAAATTTTTCGTCCATTTTTGCTTGCAATTTCCTGTGGGCTTCTTCAGCCTTCTGAGCTGCAGTTAATGCCTTCTGTAGCTGTTCAATGGCTATAGAAAAAAAAATACAACAAATATAAAATTAGATTGTGAAAATTCAGGCCAAAATTCAAATCCTCACATTAGATAATGTTTTCATCGAACTACTTTTTTTTTTAAAGCTCCAGGTTCTGCATTACACTTAGTATCCATTTTTTAAAATCTTCTAAATCAGAGGTGTTAAACTCAAGGCCCGCAAAACAGATCCAGCCCGTGATGTGGTCATTATCTCGCCCACAGAGCCTCCCTAGAAACAACGGACAGGCCCATGGCGCCTGGCGTGGCCCAGGTCGTCCAGATGCTGATCTACAACCTAGTGTGGCCATCCAGGCAGAACGTGGTTGCTCTTAAATCCACGGGACTGCCCTAGAGCCAGCAAGGGGCTGCCTAGGCATGTGCAGAGAAGGCGGTGAGCACATGCAGTGCCTCGCATACTCAAGGACCATCTTGCCCCGAAGGCTATGTTCTGAATGCTTCCTTTTCACACAAGATGCATGTGCTCACAGCCTCTTGTGTGCATCTCCAGGGGACAGGGCCACGGCAGCAGGACGGTTTTTCTCACTGGCTCCAAGGGGCTATATGGGTCGAACCTAAGGCTGACTATGTGCCCACCCAGATGGCCACTCTTCCTCCTTCTCCAAGTTCTTTCCAAGTTTTGGCATGTGCATGTGTGAAAGTTTTTAATTCCCAGATTTTGGACTTGTGGGTGCTAGAGATTCATGGCTGGCAACTAGCATGGGCTGATTGCTGCTGGAATGTGGTGGAGAGAAGAAGGGGAGTGCCTGAATGTGGTTTTATTTTATTTTTCCAGAGGGTCCGGGAAGAAAGCCATGCAGGTCTCTGAAGACAGACAGGGGGTGCAGACTGGAAATATGCAGAGAACTAGACAACTCCCATTCATTTGTGGTTAATAGGTGAGAGGGACAAGCAAATGAACAGGGAATTTTTGCTTTTGTTTCTTCTTTTTTATTTGCCATGGCTTCTTCTGGCCCTCTTGGCAACTTTTGATGTCCTTCGTCCCAAATTCATTCATTTTGGGGGGATACTGCGGGAGAAAATTGAAATCAGGGAAGAGAAAGGAAATTGCTCATGAAAAGAGGTGTCTATATACCAATCTATTTGGGGAGGGAATTGGAATACGCAGCTGGGGGAGAGGCATCGGCGGCTAATAAAATGCAAACCGGTAATTTTTTTTAAAAAAAGGGGGGGCAGGAAAGCGGGTTGTAAGTTTTCCGAGTCTTCAACTGTCAAGTGATGATTTTTTCCCCCTACTTCTTCCTCATGCCCCCCCTAAAAAGACTTTCTATCCAAAAAACTGAGGAGTTTGTTTGGATCCCAAAGAAGCTGCAACTTGCTTCTTCCTTGAAGTTTTTGGCCCCAAATTCTGGTTGGTTCCAGACTGTGGCCGGAGTGGCTTTGGTGGGTGGGCTGGGTGTGAATTGCGTGAATTTTATTTTATTTTATTTTAAAATGCTCCAGTAGTTGTTTGGCTTGTCTTTTGAGTTTTCCAGACACTGGGTTTGGCTGTCTGTGTCTCACTAAAGCCGGGAGGAAATATAGGCACAAGATTTCAGAGGAAGAAAAAATGTGGTTTTAAGTTGCTCAGAAATCAAATGGCAGAGAAAAGCACCAGAATCTAAAGGGGCAGTGCTTCACTTGATTTTAGTGGGATTCCTTCCCATGCAGAGCGGTTTTGTGATAGGAAAATTAGAGGTTTTGCCCCAGTGGGAGTTCCTGCCCCACTCCCACTCCTGACTCTATGGCCTCTAACAAGCTCTTCATCTGTGCTTTTCCCTTCTGCTGCTTTTTCCAAGGACAAAGCAGTTCTTTGTAAAATGCTTAATTTTAATTGTTCTTGGCTGGCTGGAGGTGGAGTTGATCATTCTGCTGAGGTTTTGGTAATTGCACCCACAATCCTTCTCCTCCCATTAAGATAGGAAAGAGGTGAGCTTTTTCATCACCAGTGTTGATCTCCTTTTGTTGTGATGGTTGCTGTTAATGCTTCCCGTGCAACGTATCTCCAGTTCTTGTTCAAAGTCAAGATAATTGCAAATGGCAGCTTTTTGCTCCATCCTCCCAGGCTGAGGCTTTCTTCACTTTCCCACATACTCTGCACAGTTCTCCTGTTCTCCAGCTGTTAACAAGTTAAGTGGTAGTTTTGCATATTTGATTTGATCCACGAGAAAGAATGAAAGTTGATTTATTTCTGCAGTAATGTCCAAGTTTAAAAGTTTAGTCTCCATTTCGCTGCTCACTTAAGTAAGGAATGCATAAAATTTATCATGGATTCTTTTTTTCCCCTCCCTCGTTTTAATTCTTTTTTTTACTCCTTCCCTGCTTTTAACTTCCTTCCTTCCATTCTTCTTTCCTTCACTCAGAATGCAATCAACTTGGGGCTGACTGCATGCTGAGTGCCATAGGCTGCCAATCTCTCCCCCTTCTCATATCCTTTTCTGAGCACAGAGGAAGGAAGGAGATGGGAATTAGAATCAAGGAAGGAAGGAAGGAAGGAAGGAAGGAAGGAAGGAAGGAAGGAAG